GCAGCCCTTCACCTTATAAACGTTTAATGACTGAGAGCAGGCTTACAACATGGCTGCCGTCATCATGCAACATCTTTAGACACATAATGGATTCCAGACTGAATATTTTTAACTGTAGAAGCCTCAGGTTTTAAAGAATATATTTGTACATCCTCTTACCCCCTCCAATTAATGTAAAATGGAGGACTTGAGTAAATTTGTAATAGCAACAGCCAACATTGAGAGCTTACCGTGTGCCAAGCACTTTATATACTTTACCTTGTTTAATCCTTAAACAAAATTCTGTGAGGCAGGTATTATTAGTATGCCCATTTTACAGGTGGGGCAACTGAGTCTTAGAGCTCTTAATTGACATGGCTATGGTCATACAGCCAGAAATTCGACGTGAGCTCCTGCTGTGTGGCCCCACGGTCCACACAGAACCCCTAGACTTCTCCGCCTCTGCACTTTCACAACACTTCGTTTACTTGTAATAGGTGGCTTGCTTGTGTTTCTCAAGGGTGACAGCGCCATTGGCATTTCCTGGTTGTTCAGGCAATCCCAAACTTAGCAGGATGTTTCATGTTCTTAGCTCCTGGCACTGAATGTCAGTACCTCCCTGCCTGCACGCCCCCCTTCTGTCACTGAGAAACCAAAAGTACCCTTGTACATTTCCAAATGCTTCCTAGTTAACGGTCTCCACTTTCGAATTACCAACTGAATTTAACATTAAAAAAAATAAATACATACATACATTCCCCCTCTCTCCTATCTATCTATCTCATCACAACTTTTCTACAAGTTTCATAAGTTTTAAGAAGTTTGTAACTTTTAAAGCCTTTTATAACTTTAGGGGTACCTGGGTGGCTCAGCCGGTTGAATGTCCAACTTCAGCTCGGGCCATTATCTCACAGTTCGTGAGATGGATCCCCACACTGGGCTTGGTGCTGTCAGCGCAGAGCCTGCTTCGGATCCTCTGTTCCCCTCTCTGCCCATCCCCCACATGCTCGCTCACGTGCTCTCTCTCTCTCTCACAAAAATAAATAAGCATTAAAGAAAACTTCCATAACTTTAAAATACACCAACACAAAAGATCAGGTTGTGCAAACTAGGTAATTTTTATAGGTGTTTGCAATGCTCTTGTTATTTGTGAATAAACAATTTTGAGCCTACCGGATCTTGGATGGTTGACATTCATTGTTAAGTAAGATAAACTCTACTGTTTACCCATTTGCCTAGCAAACTTTTTTTTTTTTTTTATAGTGCAAAGGTAAACTTGAATTCAGCCTGGGCCAAATCTCAAAGTCATGCATCTGAAAGTCATGATTTTTTTCCCCCCGTGTTTATTTTTGGCTATCAAACTTCAGGCCATTAGGCAAAGGCCTGTTGCCCTTTTATCAGAGCCAACACTTGCTCAAGGAGACCGTAACAAGTAAAAATATTTAGGAGAGTAAAAAAGAACGTTGGGGTTTGTTATTTTCCAAGCTCTGCGAGGTCCATATTATGAGATTTTGTACAACTGGAGCTAAGTCTCCCAAGGTCATTACAAGGCTGACATGTGGACATTTAACTCCATTTTTAAATGACTGCTTTCTTTCCTAAGGATGTTGTAACAGTGCTCTGAGCTAGGGGTGAGGAGGAATACATTTACTTAAAGAGGAAAAAGGGTCAAGTATAAGATGTATCCTAAAATAGAAGCTCCCCCACCCTTTCTTGCTTCACTTATTGAGACAGCCCACAGGTTTTAAACTAAATATTTTATAATCTTATTATCTGTCAACAACCAAATAACAATGTTCCGTTTTGTTCTCACCCTCTTTTGCCTCTTTCCTCTCTGTTTTGCAATGTGCTGGCAGAGCTGGGACAACATAGTAAATGAGATACTTTGATGTCCCCGAGGGCTTAAAATTTAGGCCTTTTATTATTAGAACTATTTACTGATGATGTAGAGGTTTAAAATAAGAACTTCCCTTTGACGGCTATGAAATGACAGACAAACCTACACATTCTGGTATAGCCAAGTGTTGAAATACATCCTAACATTCAGACAAAATGAAAGCAACTCACAAAAAATGTTTTGGTAGTTTCTTGAAATCTGGCTTATTGAAATTGCCTTGAAATGTTTTTACCCCTGAGAGAAGGCATGACATACTCTAAAACACAGTTGATCCAACATGAGTATACATTTTTATTTCAGTAAAAAAATCTACGATGCCAGCCATTTTTACTGAACTTTTGCCCTTTCCTTGAGAGGGAGTTGGAGATGGTTACGAGGAACAGGGAGTTGCTAGCACTTTCCAGGCCCTTTTTGGAAGGGAATATGGTGATCTTCAGTATCGGAGTTCCTGGTGGCTTGCTGCAGTGGGAGTTTGCTCAGCTTGACCTGCAGAAAGGAGCAAACTATCAGATCTGAGCAGCTAATAGGTTTGAGAATTCTTTATGAAAGTGAAAATGGCACTCCTTAAAAGGAGTAAAAGGATCTTGTTGGATGCATTAGTGAGAAAAATGAAGGGCACTTGAACTTCTTTTTTTTTTCATCTATAAAGATCCAGGGGATTAAAGAGCGACGTGCTTTTGACTTGAGTTCTTTTCAGGAGACATAGAAAATATCTTTCCAATGTTGATATTGATATGCCTAAACAGATTCTCCTTCACAGCTGAGCTTGGCTTTCAGCAAGTGAGAATATTGCCAATGAAGTGATAATGTTGCAGCAAGCGCCAAAGGCAAGAGCCGGACTTGCGCTCCCGGGGAGTTGGGGTGCGAGTTGTGGCATGGAACTCGAAGAGGTGCAGTTAGGCTAGATGAGATAATAATTTTTTTTTAACGTTTATTTTGAGAGAGAGAGAGAGAGAGAGAGAGACACCATGGGAGCGTGAGTGGGGGAAGGGCAGAGAGAGGGGGAGGGAATCACAGGTTCTGGGCCATCCATGCAGAGCCTGATGCAGGGCTCGATCTCACCAACTGTGAGATCACGACCTGAGCTGGGCTCAAGAGTCAGAGGCTTAACTGACTGAGCCACCCAGGTGCCCCTAGATGAAATAATTTAAAGAAGAGAAAGACTTGCATACCCTAGGCTTAACTATGCATGATGGGATACAATCAAGCAAAGGGAAAAATAAGCAAGAAAAAGGTCAAAAGAAAAAAAGCATGTACATGCTCCCTGGCAGAACTATGGTAATTAAAAACTGCAATCTGCAGGTATATGTACATACACAGCTAAACATGTACATATATAAAGTTAAGTGGATAACTGAGTTAAGTATTTTGGTAATTAGAAAAAAAAAAGACAAACTTTGTAACCAAGGGCAATTTGGGTTCAAATTTTATGAAATTGGCTAAATTCATTTAATTTTTCATTTCTCTATACTACATTGCTTTTATTGTCTTGGGTTGTACTCTGAAGAGGAACCTCAAACCAAAATTACATTTCACAGATGTGAAAATTAAAACCACAGTACATTTATTAACATCAAAAGTCACAACACTGCTACATGAAAAAAAACTAACGAGGCCAAGTCATATTCATGGGGCAATTATATGTTTAGGGTACAGAGCAGAGGAATCAATACAGCCTGTGGAGTCTGATCCACCTTGAATCGTAGCCCTTCAGTCCCTGTTTGGGGCACTTAAGAGTCTCTCTGATATCTCTGTCCACTCCCCTTACTGGAGTATTAACTGCTCAGAGTTGTAAAGATTGTGAAATACAAGTATTTGCAAAGCACTAGGCGTAATCACTCCTAGACAGACTTTTTAAAAAGCTAGATTCCCTTCCCTTTATTACACAAACACACACACACACACACACACACACACACACACACCTCCAACATTTAGTTCATTTTAAAGAAAGTATTTAGGCAGCGGTTTATGTAAACTTTTTTTTTCCATACTCATTTCAAAACAATTCACGTAGCAATAGTCCAGCATAACACAATAATGGATTGTGCTTGAGCTTTTTGCGTTATCATGGGATTGACTGGTACAGACATGATATATCCTATATATGAGGCAGATGTTAGCTTTAGGTATGTTTGTATCTATGAAATTCTGCTAATATTTTTTATGTTAAAGTGGTTAATTTTCTTATAAAATACTTATTTGCCTTTTTTTTCCTTCTTGTTGTTTCACAAAATCGAGTACCTCACATAAGACGTGTGGTATTGCCATTCTAATGGCAATGCTTATTACAGACTAGAAATCCTTGCAACTGAAATCAGAAACCCAGTGATCCCCACAGATACATGTTTTGAAGGCCAAGGTCTTTACTTAACAATATATGAATAATATGAATAGGTATTTCTGATAGATTTAATGGTTCAGTAGATATTTTCTCAACATATCACTAATTTGAATGTGCTTTACTTATGATAAAAACTACTTTCTCTCTTTCTTTCTCTCTCTCTTTTTCTTTTTAAATAGGCCCCATGCCCAATGTGGGGCTTGAACTCAAACCCTGAGAGTTATGAGTCGTATGCTCTACCAACAGAGCCAGCCAGGAGCCCCATGATATAAAGTTCTTTTAATCATAATTAAATACAATAAATCTTTTCAAACTCATAACATGTAAAGGGAAACAGTGTCACTTGTATTCCAAATTTTTGAGACTATGGACCAGCACCCAGAATGATGATCTTGTTACTCAAATGCATTTTTAAAAGGTGCCATACCAATATTGTAGTGCCCAATGGAAGTTTAGTAAAACTTTGTTTCTCGACTAAAAATTATCCTGTTGCCACACTAGATTCTTTACGTGTGTAAAAACGCTTCTTCATAATTACCGTGGAAGAAATTTGGAGGTGTCACCACCGGTTTCATTTTTTTCTAACAGAGTAGGAGCTCCCAATTTTTCAGGGCCTACTGGAGGCCAAGCGCATGCGACGGAGCACACATACCTTCTCCTTCATCTTGGCAACAGCCCCGCAGAGAGAGAGAGACGGCTGGTGCCCTCCCAGCGCGCGGTGCGGCCACTGTGCAGGTAAGAGGGGCCAAGTAACAGAGCTGGCCGATCACATCTACAAGGAGATTATTAGGAGGGGTGCCAGAAAAATCTCTTTTCAAAGCAAGTCCAGATCAGCTGACAAGACCTGCTTTCTTTTCTTCTTCCCATTTCTTCTGCCAGTGCAAACCTACAATATTTGAGGTGAAATAGCTAATTATCAGGTGACAAGCGCGCATTAAGATGGGCTGAACAAGAAAACAGGGAACGCCCCACATTCTCAATGTCGTTATGGAACTTAAAGGGGGCAAATGAGGCCCTCCTGGATTGTCTTCCGCTGGCATGTGTGATAAAAATAACCCTTGTTTTTCAGGTTTCTTATTTATGGATGAATGCAACTCTCAACCGATCCACCTGCAAAGAAAACGTTGACCTTTCTGTGTCTGAGAGGAGGCAACCAAGCTGGTGGAAAATAGGATAATAATTGGATGCTCAGGCATCAGACTCGTTAATGATCTGATTGAAAAGTGCTTTGAGAACTTTCCATTAAAAGTGCTGTATAGCATGGGGGAGGTACAATGTAAGGGGCTATTCAAACACTGCCCTTAATTTTATTTTAATATTTTACCTTGGACAAGTGTCTTTGACCCTAGTCCTCAGTTTACTTATCTTTAATACAAGAAAATTGCACCAGATTCTTTCTAAGACTCCTTACAGACAGAGCTATTAAAATGCTGTACATGCTGGCCTATAATAAAAGAACAGCAACAATCTGGCCCTCAGAGGCATAATTCCTGGTAATCTTATGAATGCTAGTGAGCTACAAGTGTTCACAATGCAAACACTGAACACATAAGAATCATACTATCCCTGAGATTTAGGGGAAGAGCCTAGTCAGACAGGTAGTATCATCCTCTGTACTGAGGTTTCACACAAAAGTGCCGACTGGAGTCACTGAAAGAACATGGACTCCCATTTTGAATTTTGCTTTTCTAGACAGATTGTGCTTTTTTAGAAAGAAAGAACAAAAGTGCCCTACAAGTAGAATACAGAGTAGAGTAAAAGCATTCTCTTCCAACACTAGTAGAGTCAGTGAATTGAAACGGCACAGAAGAAAAGAAAAAAACAATGCTACTTACCTTACACTTTTAATTTTAACCACAACTACATTTCATTTGTCAATCTTTTGAGATGCAAAAACACTTGTAGATTTTTACGGTTTCTAGGCTTTTGCAGGTTGCTTGCTTGCATCTCATTTGAGAGCTGTTTCTTCAGTGACTTGTTTATACTCCACTGGTTTATATAGTATTGAATTAATTAAAAGGATAATAATGACAAGTTCACCTGGCATACTGGGGGCCTTGAGGGAGAAGCACAGAGCTTGCCAGGGGAGCGGAAGTTCACAATTATATTGAAGGGAATGCTACTACTTTTGAGCATGTACCATGCTGTGGGCATGTTTTAAAGAGGGAACAAGGAGCATCGTTTAATCTGGCAAATTAAGTGGATATCATGAGAGCTCTATGTGCCCGTCAGCAATGATAGATACTTCATAATAAGAGGTTGAGATATTTTATTCACCATTTCAGAACATGGGTCTTTGGAGACTAGTGAGCTAAATATTAAAACGACATTCTCACTAATATCCTAGAAGCTCTCACCCCTTTATCCTTTCCATCTTGTTCGTAGGAGCAAATTCCTCCCTTATTAGAGATTTTGTTGATGGTCTCCCTGTTTCCCTCCATGCCTGAGGCTCCACCTTGGTCTCACGCCGATGTCTGGGTTCTTCGTCTTCATGGGGATTGGAGCTCCGTCCCTAAGCACCAATTCCCACGGATGGGTCAACGATAACTCCTTCCAGTATTGCTTGGAATTATGCCTTTGGAATCAGACACGGGTTCTAGTTCTCTTCTGCTTTGTGACTTTGAACTATGTTCATTAATTTACTTGGTCTCTCAGTTCCTTTTCTGAAAAAGTAAGAACACTTAGCTGGCGGGTTTGTCAGAAGATCAAGTGACCGTGGGAAGCTCTAGCAGAGTACCTGGCACAAGCAGGCAATGAAATGTTTGTTTTCTTCCCATTTCCTCGATGTCGGCAACTTTTGGTCTTTACCTGTTCGCATCGCTTTCCCGACTCTGAGCCCTGGCCACTTACAGGAAGGCTTGTTGAATCTTTCCGAGCTTGATCACCTGCCTGTCACAATCTTTGCCCATTGAGAGTCCAGATGACCTGCTTGCTTGTCCATACTGTCCCCTAACTTTTTAAGGGTATTTTTTTTTAAGTTTATTTTGAAAGAGAGAGAGAGCACACGCATGGGAGAGGCAGAGAGAGAGGAAGAGAGAGAGAATCCCAAGCAGTGCAGAGCCTGGAGCAGGGCTTGAACGTAGGAACACTGGGATCATGACCTGAACCGAAATCAGGAGTCTGATGCTTAACTGACTAAGCCACCCAGGCGCCCCCTCCATATGGTCCCCTATTAGCACTAAAGGGACTTCCCTGGAGCATTCAGCTTCGCCCTGGGCATCACCAGTCAGATTGGGTGGCCACCCATTTCCCATAACTGGCTCAGCATCCATCCTCTCCGCCTTTGAATTTCTCTGTAATTGCTTCGGTCATTTCACATACACACATTAAACATTCAGCGCTATGTACCGGCGTGTTAGGCAGCGTTCTCTGGAGAAACAAAACCAATAGAAACAGGAGTGGGAGAGATACAGAGACAGAGAAACAGACAGAAAGGGAGAGGGAGAGAGAGAAGGAGACAGGCAGACAGACAGACAGAGAATAAAGAATTGGCTCACACAGTTAGGGAGGCTGAGAAGTCCTGTGGCCTGCAGCTGGCCCTGTGTACACCCCGGGGGGCTGATGGTGTACTTCCAGTCCTCCACCTGGCAAGCTCAGGACCCAAGAAGGGCCAGTGTTTCGGTGGTGAGTCTGACCGGAAGTAGGAAAGGACCAAAGTCCCAGCTGGGTGCAGGCAGGCAGGAAGAGTGCCCTTTTACTCGAGGGAGGATAAGTCTCTGTTCTGTTCAGGTCTCCCATTGGACGAGGGCCATCTGCTTTACCAATTTAGCCATTCAGATGTTACCATTATCCAAAACATCCTCACAGACACACCCAGGATAACGTTTGACCAAGTTTCTGGGCACCCCGTGACCCAGTCAGGTTGATGCATAAAATTGACCATGGCACAAGGCACTGTGCTGGGCATTGTTCATATTCTTGTCATTATTTCTGGTCTCAGAGAAGCCAGTGCCCCTTCTTTCACATCCCAGTGTTCCCACCTATGCTCTTGACCCTATCTTTCCTGATCCTGAGACCCACCATACCTCTCTTACACCTTCAGCTTTCCTTTGCTCTTTGTCTTTTTTATAATTTTTTAATATTTATATATGAGAGAGAGAGAGAGAGCAAGCATGGCGGAGGATGGTCAGAGAGACAGAGACAGAATTGGAATCAGGCTCCAGGCTCTGAGCTGTCATCACAGAGCCCCAGGCGGGGCTTGAGCTCACAAGCTGTGAGATCATGACCTGAGCTGAAGTCATATGCTTAACTCACTGAGCCACCCAGGCACCCCTTTTTTTGTCTTTTTTTACACAAATGTTAGGCAGCTGACTAACTTGATGTTAGGCATCGGACTCTTGATTTCAGCTCAGGTCATGATCTCACAGGTTTCATGGGTTTGAGCCCCACATGGGATTCTGTGCTAAAGGCTGACAGCATGGAGCCTGCTTGGGATTCTCTCTGTCTCCCTGCCCCTCCCCAGCTCGTGCACACATGCACTCGCTCGCTCGCTCTCTCTCTCTCAAGATAAACTCAAAAAAATTAAAAAAAATGTGTATTTACTTATTTTGAGAGAGTTTGGGAGAAGGGCAGAAAGAGAGGAAAGAGGGAGAATCCAAAGCAAGCTCCTTGCTGTTAGCACATGGCCCAATGTGAGACTCAGAGCTCAATTTCACGAACTTTAAAATCCTGACCTCAGTCGAAATCAAGAGATGCTTAACAGGCTGATCCATCCAGGTATCCTTCTTCTGCTGTTTTTTTTTTTTTTTTTTTTTTAACCTAAAAACATGTTTGGGTTTTTTCTTTACCTTAAAATAAAGTTCTCTTTGGTCTTTTGAGCTACCTACCATCCCATCCCCTTTTTTAGTGCAAAACCAGAAGTTTATATTTTCTGCCTTCAATTGACTAAAATCCCCAGTGATCTAATTTACCTTATCTCTTCTGTGTCTATATTCCTCTAACAAGACTCTTATAAAAGCCAACAATGGCTTTCTCAAACCTGATAGTTTTTTTTTTTTTTTACAAATAGTTTATTGTCAAATTAGTTTCCACATAACACTCAGTGCTCATCCCCATAAGTGTTCTCCTCTATGCCCATCCCCCCCTCCCCCCCAGATCCATCAGTCCTCAGTTTTTGTCAGCATTCAAGAGTCTCTCATGGTTTGCCTCTCTCCCTTTCCCCCACCATTTCCGCCCTTCTTCTCCCCCTTGTTCCTCCGTCAAGTTCCTCCTAATCCTCCTATTCGTGCAAACATATATTTGTCCTTCTCTGCCTGACTTATTTCGCTCAGCATAACACCCTCAAGGTCCATCCATGTTGCTACACATGGCCAGATTTCAGGAAACCTGATAGTTTTTGTTCAGCCTCCACTTCATTTGATGTTTCAATAATTTTTGAAAATGCAGTCTCCTTTTTGAAATTTTTTTTTTCCTCTTTATTTTGGCCAAGTTGGTTCCTAGCTGTCCATCTTCTTTCCTGCTACGTGTTTGTTTCTCTTTCTTGGCCTGTCCTTTTAGGTAACTGTTCCTCATAGCATTTCGAACTTCTTTTTTTGGCATTGATCAAATTCTACTCCCTGTTTTAATTATTTCTATGCTACAGGTTTAAAAGGGAAACACCTAGGGGCACCTGGGTGGCTCAGATCGTCAAGCAACTGACTCTTGATTTCTGCTCAGATCATGGTCTCGCAATTCATGGTTTGTGGGTTCAGGCCCCACATTGGCCTCCGCACTGGTAGTGCAGGGCCAGCTTGGGATTCTCCCTCCCTGTCCCTCCCCTACTTGTGTGCGCGCTCTCAAAATCAATCAATAAACTTTAAATAAATAAATAAATAAAAGGGTAACACCTCGTCCTACCACTTCTCATTCCTCTTCTCTGCTTCTTCTTCAGAGCATTTATCAATATATGATATAATCTATAGTTTACATATATATTGTCTCTGTTTCCCCTTCCCCACCTCAAACAGCCCCAAATCCCTTCCCTCTACATTCAATAATAGAAAGAAAAGATATTAAAAATGTTTTAATAGCCAGGCGTAATAGATCATGTTAGTTGCTTAGGGAAAGCACTAAATTATATAATTTTTAAATATTTCTCTGATGTACTTCACGACTGCCTTCAAAACCGAAGGTTTGAAGCTATATGTAGGATAAGGCCTAGAGTACAAGCATTTTTAGGGTGTGGCCTACCTCTCTGTTGCTTTTATTTACATATACTTTTTTAGTTGTTGGTACATTACATGAAACCTTTTGATTCTGGAGAAAATTTGGGCATGATCATAGACTTCAGGAATTGACACATTAAGTTAGTTAGGCTAAGCTGGTAAAACAGAGAGGGAATGTTACAAATGGATCCAAAACACACGGCTCAAACACACGTTTGTTTCTTGCTCTCAAAGGTGGCTGTTGCTGGCAGGCAGGTTTTCTCCGCACATTTAAAGTCACCGTACCTTCCATTTTATGACTTCCCAGGTTGCTTGTGGCCCCTGGATGCCAGCTGTATTTACTAATCTCTGACTCTGGTACTTAGGCTGTAAGTTCAGTGAAGTCACAGAATTGCCAGATTCAGCAAACAAAAATACAGGACACCAGTTACATATGAATTTCAGATAGACGACACATAATGTTTTAGTATATATTCCATGTAACATTTGTAATTACATGTTCCATGTAATTTGTAATAACATTTGTCATTTTACTAAATTTGTAATCTCAACTAAATAATTATGCATTATCTGAAATTCTGAGTTAATTGTGAGTCCTGTGAGAGTAGGGATTAGGTCTATCTCATTTACCCTGGAATCCCCAGAATCTAAAACAGTACCTATTGACCTTAAGTAAGTCTCTCAATAATATTTCATGAATAACTGAGCCTATGTCAGCAGAGAATACTTACCAGAATGCTGCTTTTAATAAGAATATATATTAAGTATCAGCAAATCACTATTAAGTACACTTGTTATGAATAACAATACTTATTAAGCATCAACAAAGAATTCTAACCAGGAGGTAAGACCTTAATATGTATTAGCATTTCAAACCACAGATGTTTTCCTCAACTTCACTAAAGTAAACGGATAAAATCTGGCCTCCCCTAGAGATCTGCTCAGCTCTGTCTCTCCTTTCTTTCAGGTCTCTGCTCAAATGTCATTTTCTTAATGAGGTGTTTTCTGCTCTCCATACCTAACACCGCAATACTCCTCCCTCTGCATCACTCTTTTCTTTTCCCTGCTTTGTTCCTCTTCCTTTGCACTAGGCGTACACATAGCACTACCTCTCCCACTAGAATGTAAACTTCATAAGGACAAGCATTCTCCTGTGCTTTATTCACCGCTAAATTCCCAGCTCCTGCACATGTTAGAGACTTGAGAAACATTAGTTGAACAAATGACTGAGAAAACACCATTGGTTCTTATTGGAATCTATAGGTATCATTAATATCAATATCAATACCAGTAGTTTGATGATATTCACTTTACATGACACAAGATGGAGCGACTCTCAGAATAGATGTTTCCACCTGCATCTACTCAGTTCACCAAGTTCTGTCAATTCTGGCACCCCAATGTCTTTTGGACCCTCTCCTTCCTTTCCTGGGGCCACTTCCCCAGGAGTTCCTATTCTTTCCCCTGGTTGATGCAGAAATTGCCTCACTCGTCTCCTTGCCATGGCCTTTCCGTTCTAA